GCGGGACTTCAAACGTTCATACGGTATTACAACTCATGATTAACTAACTAGGTATGTCAGCAACTTTACTTATTCTAGTATTAATACGCGCAACCATGGAAGAAACAGTAATAAGTTGATTATTCCATTATAATGTGACGTCAGCCGCCAAGGATTTTAATCAATATTTTTGGCGGGATTCTGGAATTTAGTAATATATGATATTAGTATTACCACAGAATATAACATTACTCTATGCCTGGTTTTGAATCCATGAGACCACATCAGCTGATGTACAATCTATTTATGCTACATATGTCTGATATTGAAAAAGATTGCTTGGAGTATGTAACAGGCTCAGTAGCAAGAAAGTTTTTGAGCAAATATCCAAGTCTAGGCGAAAAAGTTGGTAATGTGATAGGATCTGATTCCTCTTGGACCGAACAAATGTCAAAAGGTAATTTGATTAAGCCTTCAAAAAGTATGATACAAGTGGCAAAAGTACTTGAAGTTGTTTTTAATGAATATCATACCAAAAACACACTGAGAAAGACTCCAGGTACCTGTGCATATTATATTATATATATTATAAAAATATTAAAGCTGTTTTTATTGATTTTCAATTCCAGGAGTCATGAAAAATGTCAGAGACATATTAGTAAGTAAACTGCAGAATATAATTGATATTCCAGTAGAAGTCTTAGAATGTATGGTACGCACGAGGACATTCATACGGTTAAATAGTATGAATAAACAACTAATGGACAAAGTTATTTCTACAAAAAACAAAATTAAAAAATTTGTATCGTAATTTTTAAATATATTGATTGACCTAATATGCATTGAATTAATCATAGATATTTATTTTCATTAGCAATTAGCAAGATGCCAATAGACAAGTTACATACTTACATCACAAATTTAGTTTAAGTCATGACAAAGTACTAATTGTCATGGTTTAAGTCCAATAGTACTATACTTATAGTCCAATACTTAGTACATACAGCAAGACGTAAATAGTATTAGGTATTATTTAGGTAATACAATAAATACATTAGGTATTAATTAAGTGAAATAATTGTAAAGTCAAAAGTGTAAATTATTTATTTTGTATTACTACAAATTACAATATTGTGTGTTGTTGATAAGCAATTATTTAATACTGATAACAAATCCTTGGCGGATGACGTAGACATGATGCGTATCACTGAGTTGCTGACATACCTAGTTAGTTAATCATGTTACAACTGTTCGCAGACTCAAGTCCCAGTGTACGACACGTCGACACTACGACTATCAACTATCAACAGTAAACAAGTTATCATGCATTATTATCTTTTATCATTATTTTAACGACAAATGTTAAATTGACAAAAT